AGAGATAGGAAACAGGCGCTCACCAGAACTAATTTGCTGACAACTTGATCTAAGACTTTTCTGGCTCCAGAACTGTTAGAAATACATTTCTGTTGCTTATAACTTACCCAGTCTGTGGAATTCCATTATAGCAACTGGAGTGGACCAAGGTACTTATGCATTGGCCACAGCAGCACCTTTCATTATTTGAAAAGCCTGGATTCTGTCTTTCCTCGGGCCTTCCATTTTCTAAACTTCTGCTTGATAGTTCTTTTCCTGCTTTCATATGGCATGCTCCTTATTCTTTACCTCAGCACAAATATCTCTCCTGTGAGCATGTTTTCATCTAATGCCCTCCATCCACTTACCGTCTGTCACTCCATTAATTTCTTTCATAATTCTCCTCAGAATTTTATACTGTGTTCTGAGCCATTTTTACCTATTTTCATCTTCTTAATTGGAAGGTAAGCTCTATGAGGGCAGAAGTCTTATCTTTCTTGACAAACTTTACATTTCTAATACTTTAGCTGGATCTGCAACTTTGTGTTAATATATGAATGAAAGGCTATTATTTTGAGAAATTTCTCTGGACAGTGTATGCAGGATTTTTTTCTCACTTATACTGAGGAAAATGGCCTAATAAACTTTGTTTAATTTCCTGTCTCAATAATCCATAAATCTTTGTGTCTTTGGAACCTAATGAAACCAAGAGAGAGTAAACTCATTATTTGTGACTACATAAAAACATTTCTTGTAAATCTTCATTTCTTATTTCCAGATGGTCAGTCTTATTTTCAAGTAGTAAATAAAATTGATGACATCCCTTAGTAATCAATTTATTGCAACCAATTGCATTTTTTTCAATGGCTTTTATCTAAATAAAGTGATTATGTCTGAGAAGCCTGAGGTTTTTATAAGAAAGGATAAGACTTCAATCCCATCCAGTATATATATTTTTTTTTATAAAAATGACTTGGCTAATTTCTTCTAATATAATCCTACCACACACAGAATAAAATCCTTAGCATGTTTTAACTCTTTCTGTCTTAATTCTTCCCCTCCCCAGTTCTACACAAATGCATTGTCTCAATTCCCTTAAAAGACATATGTATAAAAATTTCAATGCCTTTTAGTTATAGATTCTTCGTTTACTCTAGTTTCAGTTTTCATAGCTGTTCACATCAGGACGTGATGCCCAGCTTTTTAATGAGTCATCACAGGCTGGATTTGTTTGCTTCATTTTTAGTGCATGGCTCTGTGTTCACTTTGGTAACCTTATTCTAAAATTTGGTACCAATACCACTAGTGCCAAAGGGTAAATTTTGCTTTTTTATTTTTATGGTGAAAATAAAGATAAAACAAACAGTTCTGTGTTGATTTAATATTAATACCAATAACTTTTTATTTTTTCTGAAAATATTTGCAGACATTTATTTCTGCATATCAAAGCTAATGTTAAATTCTCAGCCAATTTGGTTTTAAAGGTAATCTTATATTATGATTTCTTGTAGCTTTTTATAATTTAGATTTTCCACATACTGAATTTTCCTAAAGAGAGGCACATGTCTGTTATTTGTGACTCAGTTTCTTCATATATAATAAGTATGTTAAGGATTTTGTTATCTTTAAATGTAAAACAACTGGGCCTTGATACATAGATTTGTTATATTATACTCTTAGTTTGCCAAAATGACATAAAATAATTTGATTTTATATACTGCTCTTAATTTTCCTTGTTAATCTCTTATTATTAGATTGACTTTGAGATTTTATAATGGAGAGATTTTCTGTAGTCTAACCTCAGGGAAAACTCATTATCTCTTTTGCAATTACTTGATGGGCATGAGAAATACCTGCTCAGTGATCACTCATTCATGGGCTTTTTCTCAACTGACTTAAAAAGAACCAAGGAGAAGATTTGACGTTTTTGATCAGTCGGGTGCTATCCTTGATTCCTTTGAGTGACTTCTATCCTCTTTATCTCTTTCTCCTATGCTCCATGTTTAATAACCAAATGCTCTTACCATCAGTGCAGAGGGGTCCGGACCTCCCATATGGGCAGAGACAGACAATATCTGTTCCGGATTTTGGAACGCAGGTGGCACCGTTTCCACATGGGTTGTTTTTACAACTTGCAAACTGGCACAGCTTGCCTGAGTATAGCCTCGGACACTCACAGAACCAGTTTTCACTGTCACTAAGAAAGGAAAAGCAATGAAAAAACCCGTCAGTAAACAATTGATATTTTATATACACACACGCACACACGCACATACATATAAATAAAATTATAATTGCATCTCATCTAATAAATGGAGTTTTTTCTCCCCCCTTTCTCTGTTCCAACTTTTGAGTATTTTTAGCTGTATACTTTACGTTGAAAGCAGATTAACAGCTTTATAGATTGTCTGGAGCCATGAATTCTATTTTAAGCCATCTATTTTTATTTTTGATTTATCTTATCTTTTATTTCACACTGGGTGCCTCTTCAGGGCTTCATTAAATATGTGTGCTGCTGCCTCAATAAAGTGCATCAAATGTCTATTAGAAAAAACATCTCAGGCTCAAAGCTCAGAGCAGAATTTTAAGCTGGTGATAAGCTCCCTACACTGAGGACAAAGTCCTTCAAGAGCTGCATTTGTGGTAATTCTGAAAATAAGGCACAGTGGGGAGCTGTAATGACTATACAACTCTCCAGCTTAAAATATGGTTTGGTGGCCCCAGGCTGTGAGAGCCCCGTGAAAGCAGAGCTCAAGAAAAATACTCCTCTTACCTGCAAGGGAAGCAGTTTCGGGAGGGAGAAGTAACTCGGATTTTGTTATTTCTGCCTTCCCTGCATCCACTTCCCCCCTTTTAAAGTAGCAGTAGCCTTTTTTTTTTTTTTTGCCAGACTCACCCCTCCACCATTCTTGGTCAGTCCATGTTGTCTAGGAGGGACAGGCGCCACTCTTGGTGCCAATCATGATGATTAGTGCAGGATGGATTGACAGGCACACACTAAGTCGACTGGCCAACCGCTGTTAGAGTTTCTAAGAGTGTGCTGTGTTTCTGCTGGGGTTTCTAATCTAGTAGTTACTGGTGGCATCTGCCTATCCAGAGGGAAGAACCTGGCTGAGAATAAACTAATAGCTAGTATGTAGCAATGACTAATATGTAGAATAACTAATATGTAGCAATGCAAGTATAAGTGACAAGGAGTGATAGATTATTGATGATATAATTTCAGTACCTGATCCAGCCATTACTCTGCAATTATATGAGCCACTATATTCCAGGCTCTTTTAAATTTTTTTAAGGCAATGTGATTTAGGATTTTGTCACTTGCAATTAAATGAATGCCATTTAACATTAAGGTTCTTTTCTTCCTTTTCTTCTTTCTCTCCTTATTACCTTAGTTCACACGTCTTGTCATTAGGTTTTTTTTTTTTTTTCCTATTTGCATCTTTTCAACATGACTGTTAACTCTTAAGAGTAGGTGCCAAGACCAGCCCCTATAATTGGGAAGCTATTATATTTTGTTTTTATGACTCAGTCTCCCAGTCTAGTTGTAGATCTTGCCCATACCATGAAATTTTCCCTTTGCCATTCTCATCTATGTGGTCTTTCAGTATCTTCCTTACATCTTTGAATCCTCTTACTCCAAAATAAATTTGCTTGCAGGAAAGGACCATTTCTTTCATAATGATGAGTACATGTCTTTGAAATGTGAAAGAGTTTCCTTTTCTATTACTAAGAATGTCCATATTTTTATATTAATTCTCCATGTTAGTAGAATGAAGCATTATGGAGAAAGTTTATGTATCAGATTGCAGGTAAAGCTGGCTTCAGTGGGGTGTAAGGCTTTGAGGCCTTCAGATTTCACCCACACATAAGTGATCAGTAACACTCATTTTATGACCTTCATGGCAACTTGTATAGCACTTTATGCATTATAGACAGATACAGAATCTCATAAATTTTCAGAGTTGGGGAAAAATTATAGATCAATGCCACTAAAATGGTTATAAAATACCCTAGACAAACTTTTCCATTTCTGGACAATAAAAGGTTTGAGCCAATGCTGTTCCTTGTTACCTGAGAATAGTGGTAAAAGCATAGCCAGGCAACCTGGTGGGCACAGAGATATTTTCTGGTGTGACTTAAAGTACTTGTTACAAACTGTTGTTTGGAGTCATGAATAAATCTAATGTAACTTTGCTTCCACTCACCTAACCTGGGGTTGAAAAGTCAGTATTAAGCATATTCTGGGATAAAATCATGGCATATAGCACCGTTGAAAGCTGCATTCTAGCAGGGCCAAATCAGTCTTTTTCAGATAAAGGAGAATGCCACACATGTGAAAGTTAAACTAATCTAAATATTGATTGATTTAAGTGCTTTAATCATATAGACCCAAACAAATTTGAAATGTGGGAAAGATGCTTTTGTGTTAAAAACCAAAGAAAGCACCATTTTTAATCATGTTCTATTGATAAGTCAAGCCTCATCTCCTCTTTTTGCTTTCATCAGGTGTTGTGAGAAGTTGGTTGTGTAAATTAACATGGACATGACTAACTGTGTGCATATGTATATCAGTAGGTAGCTAGATTGGGAAAGGCAGGGAGAGAGAGAGATTTTACAGAAAACTCTCCAAGAAAGGGGAAAATCACCTTATCTGGCTAAACAATGGCAAGTGTACAGAGTAGTCTGACCCATCTTCATATCTCATTAGCACTTCATTAGAAAGTCAGCTTTAACCAATTTCGATTTTCCCAGATGATACCACTATATACTTCACTTCAAATGGTACCTTGAAATTGCAGCAAAATTCCTGGAGTGGCAGATATTTCACCAATAATTATTATTTTTTTAAATCTATGTTATTGTGTTACACCTGGACCTAAAGTCTTCTCTTACCCAGATTTTCAAAAGATCCTCATTATTAAATCACAGATTCTTCACAAGCCACCCAGTTTGCTGTTTTCTCTGTCACTTAACCCACTTTGATGTCTCTCCACATCCTGTAGCAAAAGGCAATGTTGACCAAGAAAAGGAGTGTCCTAATATTGATGGACCTTAAGTAAGACAGTTGACTTTTGGAAACAGTGACTGAAACAATGTCATCCTCCTTTGCTAAGTTTACTTGAAATGTTGCAGCATTGCTGTGGATTTATTTGGCACTGCTTGATATAATTAGCTATGAGAGAATATATTCACAGGAAAAATTTTTCTCATTTGAAAGAGTTTCAAAAATTTAATCTTTCACAAAATCTGCAAACCATATTGAAAACTGTTTTGCAAAACTCCCTTTAAGGAGGTCAGAATATTTTTCTGAATTAAAAGTAGATCTGTTTCCACATCTTTGCAATAGTGAATTGTGCTGCTATAAACATTTAAGTACATGCATCTTTTTCATAGAATGTCTTTTTTTTTTTCCTTTGGGTAAATAACTAGTAGTAGGATTGTTGGATCAAATGGTAGTTCTATTAAATATTTTTAGTTCTTGGAGATATCTCCATACTGCTTTTCATAGAGGTTGTACTAGTTTGCAGTCCCACCAGCACTGTGTAACTGTTCCTATCTTTTCACATCCCCTCCAACATTTGTTGTTTTGGGACTTTTTGATATAAGCCATTCTTACCTGAGTTAAGTGATATATCATTGTGGTTTTGATTTGCATTTCCCTAATGATTAGAGATGTTGAGCATTTTTGCTTATGTTTATTGGCCATTAATCTATCTTTTTTTGAAAAGATTCTGTTCATATCTTTTGCCCATTTTTTAATGGGGTTGTTTAATTTTTTTTTCTTGCTGATTTACTTGAGTTCTTTATAGAGTCTAGTTATCAGCCCTTTATTGGGTGTATAGCATGCAAATATTTTCTCTCATTCTGTAGGTTGTATATTCACTCAATGATTGTTTCTTTGGGTGTGCAGAAGCTTTTTAATTTGATCAGGTCCTGTTTATTTACTTTTATTGTGGCTGTGATTGCTTTTGGGACCTTCTTCATAAATTCTTTTCCTAGGTTGATATCTATGAGAGTTTTCCCAACATTTTCTTCTAGAATCTTATGGTTTAATGCATGAAGTTTAAGTCTGTTATCCACCATGCATTGATTTTTGTGAGTGGTGAGAGGTGTGGATCCTGTTTTAGTCTTCTACATGTGGCTATCCAATTTTCCCTGCACCATTTATTGAATAAGAATTCTTTTCCCCAGTGTATGGTTTTGTCTGCTTTGTCACCCATCAATACATGAGTGGATTAATAAAATGTGATGTATTTATACTATGGAGTACTACTCAACCATCAAAAAATTGTAAACTAATGCCTCTTGTATTATCCTGGATGGAGCTGGAGACCATTCTTCTAAGTAAGGTATCAGAAAAATGGAAAAACAAACACCACATGTACTCACCATTAAATTGGAACTAAGTAATCAACACTTATGTGAACAGGTGGAAATAACATTGATTGGAAATCAAACAGGTGGGAGGGGAGAGGAAGGGATGAGTAAATTTACACCTAGTGTGTATAATGCACACTATCTGGGGGATGGGCACACTTATAACTTTGAGTCAAATGGTACAAAGCAATTTACATAACCAAAACGTTTGTACCCTTGTAATATTCTGAAATGAAAAAAAAAAGTAGATCTGGGAAAGAATCCAGATGTTGGCAAAGTTTTTACATGTATTCCAAAACATCATATTGTTTTTGCCAATTGCTGTCAACCAATATTTGCTATGCATCCAAGTCACAGAGCCATGTGCCATTGGGTGAATAAGACTCACTTTTGCACTCTTTGGAGGAGACAACATAAATGCCTAAGTAAATCTCTGTAAGACGTAGCATGTGTGACAAAGGAATATAGACAGTTGCAAGGATATTAAGGCGTTAGCTCTGTAATATGCTGATTTAGATGACAGTAGTTTCTAAAAGCTAGTCTGCGAACTGGCACACAGGATATTGTTACCAGAGAACTTCCTGTGTGCCTTTTATAAATGCAGATTTCCATGCTCCCCTGGCCCCCTGAGATTCTGATTTAAAAGTTGTGGGGTGAGTCTCAAGATTTTACATTTTAAATATGTCATCAAGGGACCCTTTTGGATAGTCTACTTTGAGCTTAAGCCAATCTCCCTGAGACAAATATTCTTTCCACAGTAAATGTTTGGTGGGCATTAGTTCTAATGCTCTGGCATCTTAGCAGGATGCCAGAGCA